TGGGGACGCCACCCTGAAAGTCCCGCCCACCTGGGATGTTTGTGTCAGAATCTCAAACAAAAAGTGAAGGAGCGCAAATGAGAGTGCTGCAGCGAGAGCAAAAGTCTGATCATTGAGAAAGAAGAAACAAGAACTGCAAACAAAAACCTATGTTAAAACAAAGAAAAAATACTTATAGTTTACATGATTACACAAATGATTTGTTTGCAACTTTTATTTTTGAAATTTATTTTATTTTGCTTGACTCAGTTTTTTTTTTCTTTTAAACTCATAGTTTTTTATTCTGCGAAAGTGTTGCTTTATCTTTATGATACAAAACTAATCCCATAGTATGTCCCATTGGCAGAAAGTATGCAATGTGGGCGGACCCAATCTTCGTGGCACTGGGGGCGGGACTGTAAGGTCCGACAGGAAAACTGAAGAAAGGCGAGGATCTCCAATAAAACGGTACAATTACGTTAACCTGACTCACGTTACTTATAATATGTATACTTTTACTTGCTTTATATGTCACGATGTGTGCTAAAACCAATAGTACGGTATCAAATCTCATGTATCCATCTCAACAAGCTACCAGCTGTCTCGAAAAACTAAGCAAAGTTAGCATGCTAGTAGTTAGCTTTATAGCTGCAATGGAAACTGCTGGTAGCTAGAAGTTAGCTGACACTGTAACGGATTCAGATAAACATAGGCCAAAAATGATATTATTGACGATTATGTGCCATTAGGATTGTAAATCATCTGTAATGCGACGAGATTAATCTGAGGTTAAATTGGCAGATACATGTTCTCCTTACATTTGAGGCAAACAGCAGTGAGGAAGTGAAGTGATAACGCAACGTAAACTTGCCAAATCCACTTCAAGTTGACGCCGTATTAGGATATTATAACTATAACATTTGCCGAAGGTGTGTTATTCACTCGATGTCATTCTCTTAAGCTTGTAGTATTTCATTTATAGCAAAGCGTTATAAGGCAGGCTCTATATAATTTAATCTGAATGCGTTTAGTACTAGATCCATCCACTAAAATGTATATTAGGGTTGGCTGAATTTTAAATCAGGCACTATTCTCGTGGTGAGGACCATACCGATATGACATATAGCTGTTTTGGATCAACGGCCACAATAATAATTTAGACTGTTGATAAGGTCATTTTTGGAATAAGAATGATTATCTCTATTATAATGTTCTGTTACTATTTGTAATAACCCAAATTAAACAGAATAATGCCCCATATGTTTGCTCTCAAGCAAGATGGGAAGGAGATGGTTAGTATTTTGCTGGTTCTGTGTAGTTAATAGATTCAATATTTAAAGGCTTTATTGTCTTATGCACAGTAGCTACAGTGTTGTTATGGAAATGAACAACTTAAATCCCAGGCTCTTCCAACAATGCATATAAGACATAAAACACATTGATAGAAGAAACTGAGCAGAAATAAAATACTGCAAGATTATGTTGCAAGAACATAATTTATATGTAAATACTTTACGCTGGAATAAATGCTGATTATTATAGAAATATATACATTTGTGAGATGCAGATAGTGCCTATAGTTGTTGACTATTGACTTGTTGATGGGGCAGATAAAGGCCATTTTGAGATAATCAACCTGCCAATTTGTATTACTTCTTTTTTAATTGTACTTTTTCACTTAAACAACACCAGGGAATACCACTACACTATTGACATTATTTATTTATTCTTATTTAAACCAACAGACTCAGGAACAGTTTCATCCCACAGGCAATAAGACTGTTAAACACCTTAACTGTTGAAACAACATCCATAACATTCATCTGGCTGCTACTTAGAAATTATTTATCTATTTATCTAATATATCACATTCCAATAACGTGCATATAGACTCTTATTGCACTATTTCACTTTTTTAAACAATTTTTCTCATTGTATTTACTATTTACTATATTTTTCTGTTTACCTGCTTTATTGTGTTGCACTGTTGGAGGAGCCTGTGACCTAAGATTTTCATCGACATAACTGCACTGTAGCTATGTTCGTTTGGCAAATAAAGAACCTTGAACCTTATATAGGTTTAAAAATGATAGTTGTCTATCAGCAAAAGGAGGTGCTGCTATATACTGATAACTTAAGATATTTGGTGACCTTGGATCCTTTATTTAGTTGATACATTTCTGTTTATTTAGAAGAAGTGCACTGCAGACGGAGTGCAAATCGGCTCAAGCGAACAGAGTCAATGTGAGAATTACTAGAGGTTAATAGACTCAAATTCAGCAAGTTAGTGCCTCACTTGTTATTTAATTGCTGTATTTTCTCAGATGCAACAAACAGAACATCAACAATCTGTCAACATTATCATTAACGGCCGCCCACTCTCTAAATATGGGCATCGGCCATTTAATAAAACCACATTGCTTAACCACTAGTGCCGAGTCAGTAAGGCTTTCTATTGCCACACTGAGAGGTGTTACTCTGGGGAAGGGAAGTCGAGGCAGGAGGTGCAATATTGTAAAAGGATACAATGTGTCAAAATAACATTCTGCATGAAGTATTGGGGTGCTTTAGAAATGTACTAGCCTGCAAAAATGTGGGTTGACAGATTTATGAAAAAAATATTTGTTCCTTGCAAATAATTATACCTTGTTTTCCCTTCAATGTCATACTGCCGTTGCTATATCAGTCAAAAAAGTGCAGTGATATACCTATTTTCCAAATCATTCAGCCCGTGTTAAAAGCAAGTCATCACCGTCTCATTTGAATGACATGTCTCTACTTGCCTTTAGACTTCCCGATCTTGTATGCTGATAAAAATATCTTCTTTCTTTAATTTTCATTTCAGATGGCTGCAATCAGAAAGAAGCTGGTGATCGTGGGTGATGGAGCCTGTGGGAAGACCTGCCTCCTCATAGTGTTCAGCAAAGACCAGTTCCCTGAAGTGTATGTGCCCACAGTGTTTGAAAACTATGTGGCAGACATCGAGGTGGATGGGAAACAGGTAAGCTGTTTATTACAGACTTGTTATCTTTTTTTACATTTGAACCGTTATCTGTGTCTTCTGGGTCACCAAGTTGGTTACAATGATTGGGGCATTATAGGGAGAAGTGAGACAATTCAAACCAGGCTGAAGGGGTAAGGCAGTAGAGTGGTGCAGCAATAAGTCCTTTACATGGAAATGAGTTGGCATGTGGGCACTTCGGGGCTCCCTCATCACGAAGTCAATGTTTTTTTTAAAATTCATTTTTGGTTAGATTCTAAAATGTAAGCTTTTTGTTAATGCCATAAAAAGCCAGTAAATACCCGACTGGTGAATGCCATAAGCTTTTACGTCTCATAATTATAGCGGTTGCTATCAAGTAACCAAATGAGACTGCTATACGTCAAATATTAGCTGCCGATAGCATAGCGGTGTTAACGTGAAGTCATGTGACCAATATGTCATTTGTTTATATCATAATGTTAGCTTGTCACTTCTGGCAATTGCATTTATGCTTTAAATATCCTAACAGTGTTGTTAATATGGAGAGCAAAAGGTGTAAGTACCGTAATTTTTGGACTATAAGTCGTGCCTTTTTTCCCATTTTTCGACCCTGCGGCTTATATAACGGTGCGGCTAATCTATGGATTTTTACAGCTAACTGCCACTAGGGGACCTCCTAAATCTATGGATTTTACAGGTTACAGTCCACCACCTTTAACTCTATGGGCTCTATGGCCGGTCCGCGCCCCCCACCTTTAAGCGGCGGGCTCCAGCAGGAAAAGCTGGAGGCCGGAAAAGAGTGAGACAGGTAGCGCGTAAAAGTGGAACCGAGAGTGGTACGAGAGACAGAACGAGAGCAAGACAGACAGACATTACGAGAGCGAGACAGTTTGTGCAAAGGTGTTAAACGTGCGCTGGGAGCGCACCGTTTAAGTTTGAAAGTTGAAAAGTTTGTGTGTCTGAAACGCTATGTGATACAGTACAGTTTACACAGCACAGTACATGTTCTGTAGCTACTATTGCACTAAATGGTAACACTTG